GATTATCTCCGTCTTGAGACCTCGTGTAACATTGTATGTCAATGTTATTCTCATCTTGAACCTGCCAGTTTCACAATCCTACCCTACCCAAAGACCTGGAAGTGATTTTACTGACTAAATTTAATCTCAGATGTTTCTTTTACAGAATCCATCTACTCCAGAAACCAGCCCCCGGGTGTAGAGATCTACACTCGGGGGCTTCCTCGAGGAGGACAACGTCTTTTCTTTGCCGGGTCTTGGATTGATCCAGTTGGATTTGATGCCGTTACATATACTATACCTTGAATATCCTGAAATGCAACAACAGCTGTTCAAACATGTTACCCATAACACCCCCGCAACCCGCCACAAGACCAACCTGAGCCGGGGCGGCCTGGGTTTTTAGGATCCAACATGTTGATCAGCACCTCGTAGGGCAAGCACATGCTGGTTCACATCCGCGAACTGCTTCACCACAGAACTGCGGTTTGAAGCGGTGGATCCCCGGATTGCCGAGCGCACGGATGATCGGTCCAGGATCCCAAGTACAATTGGATGGGAGGAGAGAGGCTCGTGGATGGGAGGAGAGGCAACCGGTATTACCGATGAACATCTCGCTGGTGGTCACCAAGCAATGCGATTCTGTTTTCTTTTGGGGGGGGGGGTGCTATTTGATCAACAGTCTACAACAGTCTACACCCTGGAAGACTAACATGGAACCTGAAAACCCCTGGTTGGTAGAGGAAAATCATCTTCCATGGGACCAGGACGTCCGGGTCTATGTGAGTGGACTCGGGAGGGCTCGCATGTTGTTTTGGTGTCCTGCCCGGTGAGCACCAGTGCCCGAGCTGGTGCCCGAGCTGAGCTGTGGGTCTTCCGAAGGAAGTGAGCAAGGTGGACCGGACCCCGAGGGTCGACGGCTTTGGATGACCGAGACGGCGGTGAGCTGTGTGACTTTAAAGAAGGGCGAGAGAGTCCAAGGTTTTTGGGCAAAGTGAGCAAACATTGCTGTCTCTTTGACTTTCTCACACACAGGCACATATTATTGTACTTCTTTGCTGGTGTCCAAATCCATCGGCTTTGCATTCACCTTTATCCATATTTAGACGATCAGAAAGGCGAGTGGCACTTTGGGCAATAACATTTGAAGATGTGGAACAATTTGTATTTTATTATTGGCGGTCATCAATTGACACTGCATTCTTTCCGGTTTACGAATAATATATTAGAGCTCTCATAAGGAAAGAATAAAATTACTGATGATGGACAGGTCATTTCTTATTCATTTCTCCCTGCAGTTGACCCGTCATTCACTTCTTCATCAATAATATGGGCACCCTCACTGACTTGGGTGCCACAGGGAAGAGACAGATGGGCCCCTTCTTGGATCTGGGGCTTCAAATTAAATTAAAACGAGATTTCATACAATTGTATTTTTCACATCATTTCCGTTTCATGTTCTACCTTACCAGTGGCACCCGAAAACAAAATTGTTGATTGTTTGGTGGATCTTGGGGGTGCCACAGGGAAGAGACAGACGGGCCCCTTCACCGCTATGGACGCCCCTTCACCGCTAGGGCCCTCCATTTCGTTCGCTTCGTCGTGGTCGGGCCCGTCTCTTCCGTGTGGCGACAGTGAGGGTGCCCAGGGTAAGCCTTAGATCTAGGAAGCAGTTCATAAGTCGTAATCATTGATTGTGCTGTTGATTCGAACACCTCTCCCCATTGTGGTGATTTTGGCCCAGAGAAGAAAGCAAAGAAAGGAAAGGAAGAAACAAACGCCTTCTTAACTACAACCACCATTACCACAAGTAATTTGGTGGAAACAACAATGGCCAAGATCACCACCCTGTTGCAATAGCCAAAAATCAATGGGCTGAGCCGTTTAACTGTGAACCAAACCTAGCTAACAACAACTTGAATGTTATGAATGTTGCGGTGAATTATGTGATGCTTTATTACAGTAATCATAATTTTGATTCTATTTGTCAGCCCATTGTCACAACCAGCCATGCTTGTACAGAAGATCATTTTAGTGTACAGTGGAATTCAAGAGTTCAATAAAAAAATCAAAATATATCTACAAATGTGGTTTGACACATATCAGTTCAATAGAGCAAAACAGTTTTTGACATATACATTTTCAATGTTCTATTTTCTTGAAAAATGCCAGCACCCTCCGACAGGTCACCACCAGTCGCTTTTTTAAAGCCACCATTCGGGAGACCTTTTCGTCGTTGGGTGCTAGTACCTCCATGGACGATCTGGGTGAAAAAACCGCTTCGCCCATCCATCCATCCATCCATCCATCCAACCCCAGCTTTCCTCCCTCATCCATGGTCGTTCGCCCGTCGACTACACCAGGCCGAAGGACTGTGGTCCTGGCATCGCCGCCTACACCGGGCACCGACATTTGAAGCAGAGGCGGGCACCGGACGAGAACCGCCGACATCAGGTCCGGTTCCACAACCGGTGTCGGTGGCTCGACTCATGGTACTCAGGGAGTACTAGGGGCACAGAATAGCACAGCATTCAGCATCGAGATGTTTTTTTTGCAGGTTCACCATCTCAAAACAACAATCACCCCGATTTGCTCGGATGCAATAAAGTAAGAATGTGAAACTGCTGCCAGGGTGCCAGGGCCACAATGACAATGGACACGAAATGTTGGTGAAACAACATCAAGATTGACTCCCAAATACTCCAAATATTTTGATATACTGCGATACTGTATATTGTTTACACATGGGACCAGCAGGAGGTTTCGACATTAACGTACCTGCCCAGCAGAACTAGAGGACAAAGACTTCACCTCGCCCATTCACCCAGATGAATGCCTGCTTGTTGAAAACCTAAGTTTTGTGAGAACCCTATGTAGTGCGTTCTATTCACTTTCAGTTGAACACATGTACTAGTAGAGCAAGTGACATATATATATATTAAACAGACCCATTCAGAGGAACTCGTCTTCCCGCCATCTCCTCATTCCTCACACGTGCAGTTTGGTGGAGCAGTCATATTTTTTGGCACATGTCAAGTGAACCATAAGGCTTCCAATCCCAGACCATCCATATATGGTTACATTTATATATTTTCACCGCATCCAAAACTCCTCACGCCATGGTGGCGGAAAAACTCTTCCACTCCGATCAGTTTGGGGCGGTACGTCCATTTCCACGGCGGTACTCACAGATTCCAGAAGGTCCAAGAGGTTGGAAAACGGTGGGGTTTCTAGACCTAAAAGCGAGTGGACCTTCGCAGGCACACCCTATCCTTCGGTTTCGTTCGCACAGTGACATGGAACTGGTGGAACCTTCGGTGCCTGTCATGGGTTCCCTCGTGAAAGGCACCCTCACGTCTTCTTGCAGTCACACCTCCCCTAGCCGCTGCGTTGCCAGTCGGCCGAAGCTCCAAGAAGACGAAGCGCATTCGCTTCCCCCTGGCCAGCACTTGCGCTTGTCCTTGTCTCAGGACAAACAGAATGCCAGGAGATGCCAGGAGTCGGGTGTTTGGTGATTGGTGTCTTTTACACCATTGCGTCGTTGCATGTTTTTGCTTCTTGACCTCATGGAGTTTTTGTCAGGTAGAAAGCTTTTCGACAATCGCATGATCATTTCTTTGACTGTACTTGGACGTAAGTTGTAGCATGTGGTATGCATGGGATGTGTTTAGTATGGTTCTACAAACCGACATGAAACAATCTTTCATTTGAGGGTGAAACCACCGAGAGTACAACGGTTTCTTAATTCATCCTAGCCACTCCAACAGCTCTCTTACTGTAATTTGCAGAATAGGCCAGACCTTTGACAGTTTCACAAAAAACAAGCCTCACGCCCGCCTGCTCATTCTTCGCCTTCACAAGAGCTTGGCTCTTCGAGTGCAGATGGACTTAATGTAGACTGTAGACTCTTGATTTTGTATACCCCCCAATTTGGATTGTAAGAACTCTTCAGATTTCTTTTGGGTTCAATGTAATCAAGAGTCTACATGACCGGATTTTCACCCAACCTCCCAGGCCGCGTCAGATGCCGCTGGGTCTGGCTCGCACCTCCGAAGATTGGGATCCACACCCTGTGGACGTGATCCGCCCGCAGATGCCCGGCTACCGGGCCTTCCTACCTGGGCGAAAGCTCATGGCATAACCGACCTGCGCCCATGTGGCCGAGCTCCTCGCGGGTGCCACGCGCCATGCCGTCCTCAGAATGCCTAGAATGAACGAAAGGTTGGACTCTAATCGGTGATTGACTAGAAAGTTGGACATAGTTGGACCACGTTCAAACAATTGGTTCAATTGATGCTTCATGGATCAGGCGGCTTATTGGTTGAAGGGACTGCATTGGATCGTGGTTTGAGTGTTTGAGTCACAAGAACAGGCTTCGAAGCGGAGACATCTGGGTCAGCGAAATCATTGCTTCAAAACCAGCACCCTCCGAGCCGTGGCCACTGTTTCACAGCCAAGACAACGCCGCGTGTCGCGGCAGAAAACGGTGTGCTGCGATCGAAAGCGTGCTGCTATAGTCGCCCACATCTTGGGAACAGGAACACCTGTTCCAGGGCCTTTGGGAAGGGCCGGGCCGAAAAACACCTGATTTAAAATTATTCAATATTCCACTGGGATTCCACTGTGGCATAAGTCTTTTGGGATGTTTCTCGTTGGGGGATTCTTCCTTCGACGGTGTTCAACACACCGTGCATGCTCGTCTCGACAGCGTTCATGCCGCATGCCGAGCTTCGCACGAGGGTTCCGGGCCGTCCAAAGGCCAACTCCGAGGTTCTGACCACGGGAATTGTAACTCCCGGGTTCTTGGTATCCCATGTTCCATTTTTTGTTAGCAGAACGCTCTTGATGGAGGCTCAGAGGCCAGCCTCTCGAAGATCGATGATTGACCCGTCGTTGTTCAGCATTCGGTTGAATACAAATATGGGGGCGGGCCTCCACGAGAGTCTTATGAGCTTCACCAAATCTAACAGATCATTCCAGACATGATCAAACTATGCCCTTCGTTGGATTTGGGCCTCAAGCGCCCACGTGGCCTGAGAATTTCATGGTGTGATGTGTCCTCGGGGATGTCGCGAGCGCCTTGGATTGGTGTCGAATTGGTGTATCCATTTTCGTTGAGTTGAGCACTCCTGGACCGATCTTTTTCCTTGTCGTGTTTACTTACTGTTTAATTCCGTTCTCTCCCTTTGTCAAATTTCCTGGGTGGCAGCCATGGGTGGTGGGACAGTCTTTGTTGAAGTCGCCATCGTTGCAATTGAAATTCATCGTTCCATGGATTGGCTGTTCGTGTGATGGATGGGCGTGGGATGGCATGGGCGTTTTTCGGGAACTCATGACCCATTCGGTCATTTGACCGTGAGTCTTTACTGACAACTGAAACACCTGAGTCTTTACTGATCATCTTGCACTCCTGCGAGCACTCATGACCCAGTGGGAGCCGTGTTGGGAGCCACCAGACCCAGTGGGGGCCGGGGATGACCCGTTCGGCGGGTCGCGCCTCCGTGGGTTGCACCAGCCTGGTTTTGCTTGAGGTGATTTCATTGGTGAATTTCCCGAACTGGGTCAATCCCCATCTGGGGCCCGGGGGACATATGTGTCCCGGTTCCTAAACAGCTCTTTGCGCCAGGGAGCCTTCCACTTGCTTTTTCTACATCACCTCCTCCTCGCCTTTGCCGCTCGACATGCGGCGCAGAGTGGAGCCAACAGCGCAGCGGTCAGCGCAGACTGGAGCCGCTCTGCTCGGCAAACCTTGCAGACACTTGGAACGTGTTGGCTGGGCAAACCTTGAAACCTTGTGGAAACGCAAAGAACCAGGTACTAACAGCATCCAACAGCTCCAATGCAACACTGCAACAGTTTGTGAATTGTTCGTTGTTAATCTTGTTGTTCTTCTGTTTTGCTTTATTCAGATGTCAGGCTGACAAATCACAAGAACCAGCTTTTGCGGTGTTATATTTGCATGTTCAATCAACAGGTTCGCTCACACCAGTCGGGCATTTGTTTCGCTAGTTCAACTGATGTTGTGGATGCTGCTACTTGTAGCCTTTCGGACACCGTAGCAACACATGCTTTAAGATGTTTAAACATCCAGTCGCTGGTGGTTGGTTCCACGTTTATTTAGGAATTTAGGGGTTGGGAGAAACACAAATTATAAATCATTGCTTGTTTCATGATATTCGAGAAAAGAAGAGAAGGTACAGTAAACGGGACAAACAGCAGGCATGGGAGGCATTGTTCATTTATGCCTCAGTTACAGTTGGTCTATTTATATATATATGTTTCTCGTTTCTGACGTCACTTCAGCCTTCAGCACCTTCCAAAGTCAAGGAGCATTCAGTTGCTGTGGAACCCTGATGAGGGCAACGAGTCCGAAGCAACCGAGAATAATACAGAAGTGCTGCTTGACTGCAAAAGCATGCGAAAGCCGGAGTTTCGACACGTTTGGTGTGCACACGTTTGTCATTTGACCAGCTGAAATGATAGCCTGATAACACACTGTCACTGGGCCCCTTGACTCTGGGTGCTTGCCCAGGTTGCATAAATGCATTGGCCTATCGACTCACTAATGTTGATTTGACGGTCCTGCCAGCTGAAGCCCACGATCCAAATGATGTCCGGATCAACTGCTCCAAGCCGTTGACCCAGGGTTGTGAACCCAGGGTTTATGACCCAGGTTATCAACTGCTCCACATCCCTTTTTCAGTTTATGACCCAGTTTAAAACCTTTGTCATCAACTGCTCAACGGTTCAAATCATATCCGGAGGTTATTATAGCCCGTTTTTTTTTTCCAACCGGATCAACTCGCCCAGTGGTGGGTCCAGACTCCCCGGAGGACGTGAATTCACGGTCGCAGGTCTCAACCCGGTCCAGGTCTCAACCAGGTCCATCCGGTCGCATTGGTTCGAAATAGGTTATCCTGGTGAATTAGTGCTGTTGTGACATCTTTCTCAATAGCCTATTGGTGTTTGGCGATGTTTGGCACATCATTTGAATATACATTATGAATAAACATCAAAAACTATATAACTTGTATATATATATATATATTGTATAGTGTACATATATATATATATCTTGCCTGACATTCCGCTGCACATCACGAGCATGGACATGGAATATGGTCTGACGGTGCACAGCCAAACGGCGTTCAGAAGGTCGGTTATTGTTATTTCTTTTTTACGATCTCACATCGCACAGAGGTTAATGAACTGACGGCAGCAGATAGGTCAGGCCCGTATCTTACAGTATGTTCAGTCACACACACACACACACATATTATGGTCCGTATATGTCCATATGGGTCACCTCTATAGTGAAACTCCCAGCACCGCAGCCGTCTCATTTCGCTTGTCCTTAAGCCGAGCCGATCCGCGCTGTTCGCCCATCTCCCGCATCAGGCAGCTCTCGCAGTACTTGGCGGTGATGGCGTTGAAGAGCTGCACGGAGATGAGCTCTGTGAATGTGAAGAATAGCTCTGTGTTGGAGCTGAAGAGGAGGCTCAAGGACGGATATTTTTTGTGTTTTTTGGCGGAAAAACGCGCGAGGTGGGAGGTTGGGCGTTTGGCGTCGGACCGAGTCAGGCATGGCGTTGAGAATGACCTAATCATGTTCTGGATTCAGTTTTTTGTTGTCCTTCCTGTGTGTTTTAGGGTATTGAACAAGAAGGGCAGGCCATGTTTAGGGCAGGCCACCCGCCCTTCTTTACTCACCCTGCCACATCGTGTTTTTGACCCTGGGTTGACAATATAGAGTATATGAAACCGGGTGAGCCGTTCCAACGTATAACATAGCTCTTGTGCGCCACGCGATGGTATTCCGACGTAGCATACCTTTTGTGAGCCGCACGACGGTAAAGTCTAGGATGAAGATAATAGAGCCATTCCAAAGTGGGATAGCCTATTTGTCAACCACCACCCAAGGGTAAAATTTGGACATTTTGTGAGCCACGCTGTTTAGCCGCAAGTTTCCACTCTGGGTCAAAAAACAACGTTTCAGGAGTTAAGATCAGGTTCCTGGGTTCAAGTGGATCCGGGTGTAAAAACGGTTTCGGGGTCAAGAATGTTCTCCAGACAATTCAAGCGTTCTTTAGGAATGAAACGAAACCTCACGCCACTATGAAATACTGTGAATTTGATTGCCTTCTACAGCTGAGGTTATTTGTCCGGATACATGGAGCTCTGTCAGTCCTTTGATTCTTCATGTCGTGGGAAATGGGATGAAGTGTGTTAAAATTCACAGAGACCCGTAATATGCCACTGGCTTCGCAAAACGTTTCCAGGTCCCACCGAATTCGGCACGGGCGAAAGGACCTTCAGTCAACGACACTGGCAGCTGCAAGCAAACTGCAGACCAACCATACACACATATTATATGCAAGTATACGAGAAAGGCGTCGGTTAATCTAGTTTATGGTTTGCTTTGCGTGGAAAAGCTGCAGACACGAGGTTGTCACACAGCTGCCAGGACAGCGCCGGTCTGCGCGCCAGGTTTGCGCAACATATTTTTTTCGTTGCGCCATGTCGCCCAAGTTGATGTGCTTCGCGCAGCATATTAGCTTGGCTTAACACACCTCAACAGACCACCGGATAGCTATAGCTCCCAGCTGGATTCTTCAGCGCAATTGAGGATCTCTATACCAATACCTGTGAGGAGGCGGTTGACGCACGAAATCGAAGCCTTATTTTTTGTAGAAATCGGGTTCAGGGTTTATTCATTTGAGCCGCGGTAAGTGGCCGCCAGGCCAATTCCATCTTAGATTGTCATTCAAACTACCCCACCGTTCGAGGAAGCAGCGTCACGACGACAGGACGCAAAACCACGTCCTGCGACATCCCGTGACGGTATTTCAATGAAGCCCATGAAGCTGCTGCTGGACCACGTAAAGCACTCTGCAACCTGGGGTTCGGTTCTTTCTCAGCTACAGGCTATTCGGCTGCCTACATCCAGATGGCACACTTGTGAGTTCAGGAAAGCTTGCAGGTGATGATGCATGACCGATACCGGTGGTTCGAACATGCATGAAAACACCCATTGCCCTTGCTGATATGCGGATGTTGCGCAACCCGTTGCATTTGTGAGCAGCATGTCTGCTTATGTTGGAATCATGTGTTGTTTGCAGGTGTTGCTACGAAAGCTGCATGTGTTTTTGAACACCGCGATCTTTATGTTTCCATGAACTATTCGGTGTCGGCTGAGTCGGCTGGGTGCAATGCAAAGAGAACCACGTTGGTCCAACTTAGTCATTGGGCGCAGCAAAGCCGTTTAAGTCACCAAAGTAGGACCCCAGTACATTAACTAAGAGCACAGACCCGTCCGGGCAATTGGACGTGCCTCGATTTCATTCCGCTCCAGGAAAACCAACTGATGTGCATTGATGTGTTTTGTTTTTCGCCTACAAATTGTGTGGCCCAAATTGTCAGTTCTGAACTCGAGAATTCGCTTTTTCCGTCCCTCCACGGCAGAACCTGTGCCATCTCACCAAGCACACAGATATTGTCGAAAGGCTTGGCTCGTGTCCTGGAACAACAACATGACGCGGTCCATGGAGGATCTGACGGTTGTTTCAAAAACGTTTGGTTCCCAAAACTAGCCGTTAGCCTGGAACATGAGATCCGGCAATGTGGACGCACAGCTTGATTTGGACAGGGTGCCCGGAAAAGGGACTTGGATTTGTTTGTCGGTTGCTGGGACTGTGGAGACCAAGTTTTGGCATGTTCTGGCAAAATTTAGATTTAAATCTATTTGGGTATTTTTTGTGAGACATCGAGGTAGAGAACCCAACTGCCATCATATGTCATCATTGTAGTCTTGGACGATGTGATGCGGTGGGTTCACCAAACATTGTTCTTGGACTTGCAAAATGCTGACTTCGAATCAGTTCTGATGAATATGCCACTTATGCCAGCAAAACAGTTATGCAAACGTAATCATTGTTTTTTTCCACCATGTGTGGTGTCACCAAATTCCTACCCAAAACTCAGCCCAAGGATTTATTTTGTTGCATTCCTAGCACACGCATTCCAGCAAGAGGCCACACAGTTGATTCCTGTCAGGCCGGGGTTGATTCTTCTAAACAGGTTCAGGTTCGGTTTTTTGCATGTGTTTTTGATTCCCTGGTTCAATCCAGGTTGATGAGTGATGATCTGGTTGCCTCTTGGGTGTGCGGTGGCTTGTCCTTGGCCGCCAAGGCGATCCGGTGTACGGGAAGTTCCCTCGTTTCGGGCAGGTGGCCGAACATACGAGGTTTCAATTGATATGATCCTGCAGGTTATTTCGCAATGCATATGGCACAAAGATGGCCCTCGCAAAGAATTCTTTGGACACAAGTGACTGTACAGTCAATTGTGGTGTCAACAGAACGCAGAAGCTTCAGAATCGGTATCATATTTTTCCACCTTTTAAATGCCAAGCAAGGAGAGTTTGCTTAAAGAGAATTTAAAAGATCTCAATCCTCTTGATCCGTTGATCGATGCGGATTCAACAATGAGGCATGTTCAACAAACACTGGAGCGAATGCGAAAGGACGTGCGACCTGTTTTCATCCTTCTTCAACCCTCTTTATCTCTCCAGACAGAGCTGTCCAGCGGCCGACCGTGCGGTGCTCCGCGCTCGGCAGAAACTGGCGGGGTATGAGCTGAAGCAGTGCCGAAATGCTGGAAAGACGGTGATCGGAGAGCTGAAGGAGATGGTCAAGGCACAGGAATTAGACTGTCAGAAGACTGTGAGCGCGGACTGAGAAGACAAGCACGAAGGAGACTGGCGCGTTCATAGGATCCAATTGGTCCAAGAGCACGAGCACCGTCCGAACTTTCAAAAGGTGGTTGGAAAGTATAGGTGATAATGGAAGAAACTCTGTTCTTTATCACCTGGAACGCAAAGTGCGCTTCCCTTCTTTGTTTGTTTGCCGGAATCTTTTCATCAACAGCACCCAATTGGTTGTAGTGCTCCTTTCTTCGAAGCATGGGTGTTAACAGAATTGTCCTCATTGACATACTGGATATCCACTGGATATCCACTTCCCCCCCAAACGAAAAAAACATCACATGAACCAGACATCACCAGCAGGGGAAGTCAACACATCTATGAGCCAGGATTCAGCTCTTCGCGCCCGAGCCGCCAGTGCGCCGCCTTGCCGCGCACCCCCCCGCAGCCGCGCGGCCCATCCGCACTGCGCAGCTGCCGCCAGGTGCAGGATTATCGGAAGATGGCCACCCAGCTCCAGCTCTATGCAGTGAAAGTGGCTGTGGTGGTCCTGCCCTTGCCACCGCCCCTCGGGCGGATCATCGAGCAAGGCGTCCACCTGAGGCTTCAACGCCTGGCCCAGGCGTGAAGTGGGACAAGACCGGCCGGAAGGGTGTTTGGAGTCAGCTATAATTAGAGACAAGAGTCAAGAGAGACAATAATGTATGGGGTTTGGGTTATTTTTTGTCTATAGTGATTTCTCCAAACATCTCCAAAGTCATGTTGTTGGTTGCTTTTTGATTGCCATGGTTATGAGATGGCATGAGCCAACACCGTTGCAAATTCCAATGTGAAGCGCGCCATGTCTTCGTGCTTTCCCTGATCAGCGACTGCCTGATTGATGGACCCAGCACCAGTAGCACCAGTAGCGTAGTGATGTGCGGATCTATGATGATATATGTGCATGTGGCTGTACTGTGGCTCGAAGTATTCTTGCCCAAAAGGTAGGGACAGGCCCTGCAAGCGCTCAACTCCCCCAAACACTGTCTCAGAAAAAAAAAGGAAGGAGAACCCAGAGGGAGATTTGGAAGTGAGAAGAGTTGAAAAGCCTAAGATCCACGCCGATGCAACCCAATATGTCCATCGGGATGCATTCCGACGTCAGGATGCAGGAGAAGAACTAGACTCTCTGGAGAAGAAGCTGGATGCAGCTCGGCAGCTGTTGCAGGGCGTGCAAGGAGGGAAGAAAGGAATATGCTATGGCTACTAGAGTCAAAGTTGTTGACAAGAGTTGATCAACATGAGAGTCAAAGAAAAGGAATGTGCTGACAAAGTACTTGTAGATTGTAGAATGCCTTTATTCCTCACAATGAGTCCCTTCTCAATCCAAACCAACCCGTCAGCAATCTTCCGGTAGAGGGGCAATCCTGAAACCATCCGATGGAAAATTTGGTCTCCTTGATGTTTTGCTTCTTGTTACTACTAGTAAGGCACTTCTTACTAATAGCTTCTTGTTACTACTAGTAAGGCACTTGTTTCTAATAGCTTCTTGTTACTACTAGTAAGGCACTTCTTACTAATAGCTTCTTGTTACTACTAGTAAGGCACTTGTTCCTAGTAGCGTGGCACTTTTTTGCATGGGCAGGTTGCTCGAACCAACCAACATCAGGAGGCGATGAGTGAGTCGCCGCAGTGAGTTCTTTTTCCGATGGCAGGTGAGGAAACATCACGATCAAGTGCAGGATTTTGTTGCAGGATTGAAGGATTATATATATATTGCAGGAATCTATTTTTGGCTATTAATTAGCTTCAGTCCGTACTTAGCAGCAGTCAGGGGTTGTATCTTAGAGGCAAATCTCCAGTCAACGAGTTTCCTACAAGGCATACGCCTCAGAAAACCCATTTGGCTCACTACTTCGGTATAAATACATTGGCAACCGTTGCGACTGTTGACACCTTTGTCCCCTGATTGCGCTGTCTAAGTGGGCTTGATCTCATACAAAAGCATACAAAGCCTGGGTTGGAGTCTCAATCTGGGATTGATGATTGATCTTCAACAAAATCTCCCCGCGGTCAGCTTGCCAAAAATCATCCTCCGCCGAGCCGATTTTGGTCCTTTTCGTCTCGAGGCCAAGATCCGCCGCACCATGTCGCGGGAGCTCTTGCGCTTGGGTACCGCGCAGGCGCGCGCCGCGGAGGAGCAGGTCACCGCCCCTCGGCGTGTTTTGCGTGGCGGATGGGATTGGGAAACGGAAGAGGCAGTCCAAATCTCCAGCCAAGGCACCCTATTATGGACTGGTACATACATATAAATTATACACACCCCTCCATATAAGCAATTGAAACCACCCCAATGTAGAATGTAAATAGATACATGGAGGAGTGTGGGCGAAAGCGAACTTGTTTGGTAGGGAGAGCTCTTTAGAGGGAGCCTGCAGCTCGGTTTTGGGCGTTGAGGGAGAGAACCGGCATGACTGAGTTGTGACTTGGACTGTAGATCCATAAATTCCGGGTAGTGAACTGCATCCAACTTGCTCAGGTAGAGAGCGACCTCGCCACTGAAAGGACACCTGGACAGAAGGCACAAAATGACATGGAAGATTGAAGTCCTTGCAACTGCAATCATAGGCTTTCAATGAATTCTGGTGCCACCTGGTACCGCCAGAGGTGCATGCCAGAGGTGCGTGCCTGATTCGGCGGCACAACACATCCATCCCCGGTGCTTTCGAAAGGATCTCCGGCCGTGGCCATGTGCTTCGCTTGGCTTCACCATGCCGTGGCCGCACCCGCAATCCACGTTTTTGCTCACGTGCCCGGGGCATTTCACGAGTTCGCTCTGAGGAGATGCTAACCTTGGACGGCTTGCTGAATGATATGGTATCGAAACTTGGCACTGATTGTACTCGTAGCACGGCATCGGAACACTGGGAGTTCACTGGATTTCAATGAATCCATTCACCTCTTTGAGAAGGAACCAACCTAATGGTCCCAGAATCCCAGAAGGTTTTTGCATCTACTTTCGCCCGAAGACATACTGTACTACTTCCCACCATGGAAGGGACGCGGTTTCAAGCTTTGGCTCTGGGTTTCAGCATTTGAGAGATGGAGATGAAGATAGATGAAGAGACTTGAAAGTTTTGCCTGAAGGGTGCTTCTGGAAGCCCTGCTGGTGTCTGAAGTGTTGGTATTTGCAAGCCAATTCACCATGGCAAAATGGGTGTTGGAGCCTCCCAATTCCTCCTCATGGTGAAAAGAACCATGGATTCCTCCAGCCTTTGCTGTTCGCAAACACTGCCGCGCCAC